TATTCTTAAAACTAGGCAACTCTCAATGATGACACCCTTCAGGGGAAACCTTCAGCAATCAGAGGGAAAAAAAGCCAGTCTGTTTCCTCCTCCTCTGTTTCAGGATATAAAGAGCATTCGGTTCGGTACCATTGAGTATTAAGAATAAACGGTGAAGATAGTATGCACAGATTTCCGTTTAGAACCCATTTGGTCCAAGTTTTGGAGAAAAAAGGCTAACCTTGTCCCATGGACCAGGTTTCTCTGTATCCTGGGGGTTGGCTGCTCTGTTGCCTTTGAGCAGTATTGTTTGGGAATTAGTCACAAGGGTGTGGATAGTATTTTGGAAAATTGCTTCCTCAGAAACATTAATCTTTCTTTTTCTTTGAAAACGCGCATGAACCATCCGTCTGGCAGGATACGCAGGGAGACCCTGTAAGATGTAAAAATGGTTTAAAGTGCTTTCCTTCTCAGGGAGTGCCTTCCGAAGTCTCTGGAAATGATATTGGATCCTGTGGGAGGAAATCTTTTCCAGTTTTCTAGGTTTCTGTAAATATATGTGCGTGATGTGGTTATAAAACCTTATGCTGGGAAATACGTTTGAGAAACATTAGCGCGCTCCCCGGGGCAGGGTCGGCATAAAAGATGCCTCACACGTTTAGTGCCCCAGTTCCGTGTATCGCCGAGCCCCGGTTTCTGGCGACACAGAGCATCTTTCCTCTTTCTATTCAGAGCCTCCCTCCCCCCTCCTCCACCTAGCCACTCAGCAGCACAATAAATGGAAACCTTATTTCCTGCATCTGCAGACCTATTTACCTGAAGGTCTGAGCTCACCCTTGCCTTTCTCGGGTCCTTCTGAAATGGGCTGCTGCTTTCATCTCTCTGGCTCCGTTGCCCTCGTTCTTTAAAGCCTTCCCTAATCCCGCACTCCGTGCGCTTTAATCTGTGGGGCTGGACGTGGCGTTCTGCATAGCCGCTTTCAAGCATGCATTATCTCCCGGATTCCTATTCCTTCTCATTGTGCATTTAAATCCCTTTTCATAGTCTGTAAAAGTGGGAAGGGGGGGGGAGAAATAAAACGAACCATTATCAAAAGCCATTTTTGCCAATTTAAAACGCCTAATTGGATGGCTTTCTCCCCCCTTTGATAGTGCCATTATCTTTGCAAACTGTGACTTGGGTTTTGCAGGTCTTTTGTGTGTATGTTTTTGAGTGTTTACTTAACATTTTATCACAAATAGGAAGAACCTTATGCTCTGTGCCCTTTCTAGTCTTTTATTTTTGGAAATCGGAGAATCTTGATGATTTTAAAATAAGAAAAGGTGTGTGTGTGTGTGTGTGTGTGTGTGTGTAGATGACAGACTGTATGTGACCTGTATAGCAAAAACGTACAGAGTAGCAGGGGTTGGGAATGTCCGGCCTGCAGGCCTTCAAAACCATTTGGTCCTGCCAAGGCCTTAGGGGTGAGTTAATTAAATGTTTGACCAGGTATAGCAGGCTAGCTTTTAAGTTGATAATTTTGAATGGCCCACGAATGATGTTATAATATCCAGATGGCCCTTGGCAGAAAAACGGTTCCCCACCCCTGCATTATAGATTTAACTCATTTAAAAGCATGTCTGTTTAGGAGAATTCCCCTCACTTCCACCCCCATCCCCGAAGTAAAGTTCTTAATCCTGTAGAGTAGTGAGCAGGTCCTAGCCTGAGCTGGCTGGCTGGGGATGCTTTGCGGGGAAGCCCTAACCTTCTCCTCATGGTTAAGCCCCATGCTCCAGCTTCCTGCCTGTGAAACAATGACTGGACCAGTGCTCTCTGGGGCTACCAGCTTCTCGGGCTGAGGGTGTCAGTGTTCCACGGGAAACACCTGCGGTGGAATGGGAGGGTCCTGGTGCATCCTTTGTGGTGGACACTGTGGTTTTCACATGCGGGAGAGGATGTGCCGTCCCACCTGGCAGGGCCTTCTGCGGCAGCAACGTGAAGTGTGCCTCCCATCCCTTCACCGAGGAGGGAAGGACACACGTCCCAGCTACCGTGTTTCCCCCAAAATAAGACATCCTCCAAAAATAAGACCTACTTACAGGTTTTCTTCTGAGTGAAATATAAGGCATCCCCCAAAAATAAGGCCCCCTAGGATAAACATGAGAGATTTGGTCCACTGATTCTGAAAGAAATGGAGTCACAAGAAATTCACCAGGAAATTCAGGAATTGGATTGCTATGATGATGTTCCAGAAGATGATGACATGATTGTCATTGAATAAATGAGTCAATTCTTGATACTGTAGGATTCACAGTTTGTCTGGTTTGTGTTGACAACTACCATACTACCGTACCGTATACAGGTAATACATTTCCTTTATTTTCATTTAACAATAAATGTGTACGGTATTCTTCTTCGTGGAAAAATAAGACATCCCCTGAAAGTAAGACCTAGCGCATCTTTGGGAGCAAAAATTAATATAAGACACTGTCTTATTTTCGGGGAAACAGGGTACAACAAAAACGCCGGTTCCAGACTCACAGAAGTGTGCCAGCCCCTGCTGGTCGTGGCGGCGAAATGTTTTTAATTCCTCCTAACCCTCTTTAATAAGCGTCTGCGGAGGAATGTGCAGTCAGCGGAGAAATCCTGGTTTCTGTTGCCCAGACCGTATCGTGTGGTTCTCACGGATGCCCCCGAAGAGAGTCTCGCCATCTGCCCTGGCGTGGGCTGCTGCCTTGTGATGCACTTGCCAGACGGGCTTTGACCCGAACCCCTTTGCCCTCCTGCAGTGAAAGCACCAGGCTCCGCAGCTTCTGTCTTTAGCGTCTCAGCCACTGGATCACCCCGCGTGCTTGGTGCCACCTGTTCGCTCACGCACAAAACGTCTCTCCCTTTCTTATAAAAGGAAGCTAGAGGCTAGGGATGGTTTGTTGTGTCTGCAAAACAGGCCAACCGAACAACGTATTCGGGACTGATCTTATAGTGTGATGTCAAACCGAACGTGAAACGGAAGCCCTTCCTTCCCAGACGCCATCTCTAAGCCACGTGTTACTGCCCACCCCACGGACCCACAGTGCCGGAGAGCAGCTGCGAAGGCTGAAGGGGGGCGGCTGCAGCGGGCCTTGGGAACTCCCACCAGACTTGCAGTTAACAAAAATATTTGTGTTGCTTGATATAAACAAAATTTTGGAGCAGTTTTTCTAATTAGGAAACTCCAGTTCTCTCTCAGCCGTGAATCTCCAATTTCTCTTGCATCCCCTTAGAGGATACTAAGTATTTAAGAAAATAAACCCTGTCTCAGTAGTGAGCTTTACTTTTGATTTCTGGTATTGTCACAGTAGGTACATTTCTCCCTAATTGAGTGTCCCCTTTCAAATTCAGGGAGTTGAAATCTGGGCTGTTTAAAAAAAAAAAAATTTTTTTTTTTAATTTCATAGAGGAAGGGAGAGAGAAACATTGATGAGAGAGAATCATTGATGGGCTGCCTCCTGCACACCCCCCACTGGGGATCAAGCCCACAGCCCAGGCATGGGCCCTGACTGGGAATGGAACTGTTACCTCCAGGTTGACGCTCAGCTGCTGAGCTACTGAGCTCTTATTGTATTTTATAGGTCAGAAATGTTCGTGTATGAGTGGGAAAGACAGTGCCTATCACCACGCCTGCTCCTGTCAGGCACCCCACAGCCACTGACTGCCGGGACGGTGGTATAAGGGCAGCCACAGGGCAGGGTGGTTCACATGGACATCCAGTGCCCCCTCTTCAGGGTCCCACCCTCCACCCCACATCTTTTGTGTGTAAACCCCATGGGGTTGTGGGCTGTGGCCTTAGTGCTTTCCAAGTTCTCCCCTGTCTCCTGGAGTTTCTTGCTAAACATCCAGGAATCAGGTGACCAGGCGCCATTCTTGCAGGCACAGCCCCTGTTTGCATTCCAAAGATGACACCCACGAGCTGGCAGGGCCTGGTCATGAGAGCCACTTGGATAGCATTGGTCAGCCTCGTTTGCTTGTGGAAAACTGTCTAACAGCTTTCCAGGTCTCCGTATATTACTGAAAGCTTGAAGATGTTTTTAATCATCAGTATAATGATTTGTCGCCTCCTCTGCTTGCACTTCCCCAGTTGCTTCTTAACGGGGGACAGGGAGGAGCTGATGGTCCAGAGGAACAATAGGAGAAGCGTCTGTGTATGAGGACTTGAGGACTGGATTGGGGTGGGGGGTTGGGGTTTTCTTTCTGGTGAGGCTGGTCCTAGCCTATTTATTGTCTTCCAAGTTACATATATGGTCCCTTCATTGTAATTGCACCCTCTGTATTTTTTCTTTGGATCTGCTTACTCCAGAATGTTTAGTTTCATAACAGTAAGCTTGTTTGTCCTTAAGTTCATTTAAGGACTGAATGCCGAGGAGAACCTATTTTAATTGAGCCAGTTTCTGGTCTCAGGACTAAGGGTTTGGGCTGGTTGAGTTATAGGAGCGTCCACCCTGAACCATGGGGTATGTGATGTGGGGAAGAGGAGAGAACTGGGAAGGAATATTGAAGTGGGCTAGACTCTGCCTTGGAGGGTTGTTTGTGTGTGTGTGTGTGTGTGTGTGTGTGTGTGTGTGTGTGTGTGTGTTTTGAGAGAGAGAACTGGTAGGAGGCCAGAGAATTATGGAATGGATCTTGTTTGAATATATTCTATTGATATCTATCTTTAGGTTGAAATCAAATCCTCTTGTGGGTCATTCATACTTGATCTTGATCTAATCTCAGATCAGTGGCTTTCTGCACCCATTGTTACCAATGAAATCAGACCAGGTGGTATGGTGCAGAAAAGGGTGTGGGGCAGCTTATTGATGCCTGAGTGGTGAGACTTGAAGTTGCTCTCACAATGTTAAAAAGTCCTTAAGAGTGGCAGAGGCGGGGAGGGGGTAGTTGTTGAAAACATTCAGTGCCCACCCATATGCTATATGGGAATGACATTCTAAGAATGCAGTGCTTAGGAATTTAATTTGTTTCCACCTGTGATGGCTGGTCTAACCTAAGGTTTCCTTTCTCCACTCAAGGAGGTGACTTTGGTCCAGAGTCTTCCCCTCCCGTCCTGCCCTCTGGCCACGGTGGCGACTTCTCTGTGAGCAGCCTTCCCATGGCTGAGGACACCTACAGGGTGAGCTTGGCCAAGGGCGTCTCCATGTCCCTGCCGTCATCACCTCTGCTGCCGCGACAGTCTCACTCGGCGCAATCAAGATCCAACAAAAAATCCCCAGGTAAGCAAGCGACAGAACAGCACCCAGACCCGGGTCTTGGTTACATACACAATACACGCATTGAAATGAAGCAAAACTAATGCCTATAAGAAATCTGGGAGCAGGTTTTTCCTTTGTACAATGACTTCTGGAAAAAAATCTAAAGAATTATGAACGGATTCATTTTCTTAGTTCAACTTGTATATAAAGTATATTGATGACCCAGGCTAGACCTTTTATAAAGATTCCAGATCTTGTTATCAATATTAACGTTAACCATCGATTTTGTTGTTTTCTTGCTCACGAATTAGGGAACACTTTCATCTAAACACACTGGTGCATTTCAAGGTTTGGGATTTGGGCAAGTGCAATCTGATAACCACTATTACTGTCATATACCAATGTGTTTTCTTTGATTACATCATCTGGCAGTTGAACAGCTATACAGTTTAATTGTTTGTGAAAATTCAGACTTGTAAGACTTGTGAAGTGTCAGGGAAGCGGCGGATGGATTATTTGGTTAAAGTGTTTTTCTCTTTCCTCTCGCTTACCAACTTTTTATAGTTAACATTGCCAATACAAACCCATCGTTACTTAGCTTGGGGAGGTTATAAATCAACTGTGAGAACAGCCTTTCCAAAGTGCTGATACTTGGGGTCCTAAAAGTCCTTTGACCTTCTTCAAGGCTTGCTGAGTACTTGTTTGCTGAGGGTGGGAGGGTTTGGGCCTTCCTGGTTATGGGGCCAGCACAGGAAACCAAAAAAACAAAACAATTTTTACAGTCCGGGGCACATTTTATACAAACTTCAAACACATTGTGTTTGGAGTTCATATAAAATGTGTCCCAGACTGTAAATTTTCTTTTAATCCTGTTTTCCTAAATACTTGTGTTTCTTGATGTCACGTGCATTATTTCAGAATCATTTTGTGGCCATTTGCAGCTGGTGGGGAGGTAAAATTACAAAGGCAACTTTTCAGGCTTTGGCCGTTAGGAATGGCGCTATGAGTTGGTGAATGTCCAAAACATTTGATGATCCTAGAACTTTTCTTATTTTGGACAACATTGTTTACAACCCGGTCACTCGCTGGAACTGGGAGACCTTTTTGGTATGAAGCGACTTCCTGTGCCAAGGAATTTGACCTGTTTATCAGTATTTGGGGAAATTCCTGGAATGTCTTTTCTTCCTTCTCTTTGTCCTCCCCCAACCGCCGTATCTCTGGCAGATTTCTTCTTTTGAACCACAGTTTCCACACCGCCTTTCTATAAACCCTGCACAGTGTTTTCCTTTCCCTTTTACCGGCCACATCACTTGTCCTTTGCACTTGCAGAAGTGTGTTTATGCACTTCCCACGGCTGATGGTTAAGGACCGGGCAGGTGTCTTCTCTAAGCATCCCTCATGTATATCAAACAGATGATGGGATTCGAGCCCACCTGGACTCTCCAGGGAACTCAGTGGAGGTTAATGTCGAGTGCAGACAGTTGGCTGTTGGGTCAGTGTCTCCCCTGTGGTCTGTGCTACTGTCGATGACTTGATGTTTGAGTCTTGGGACAAGCACACACTTGAGAGACAGGGAATACTGCATTTCAGGTATAATTTCATTATTAATAACAAATTCACTCTTGGTTTAAGTAGGACTTAAATCTTCTTTTTAAATATATTTTTATTGATTTTAGAGTGAGGAAGGGAGAGGGATAGATCGACTCCCTCCTGCACGTCCTCCCCCCCCCCCCCCACTGGAGATTAAACCTGCAACCCTGGTATGTGCCCTGACTGGGAATCGAACTGTGACCTCCTGATTCATGGGCGATACTCCATCACTGAGCCACACTGGCCAGGCTTAAATCTTCTTTTTAACTGTATTTTGGTGGGGTTTTTTTCCCCCCAGCTTTATTGAGATACAACTTGACACATATCCATACAACTTTATATCTGCATGTATTGGAAAATGATTACAGTAAGGTTCGATAATGCATCCATCACCTCACACAGTTACAGTTTACTTGGTACTTTAATGGGACTAAATAGGCAGCAGTGAGTAGCTTGGTGAGCCTGGGAAGTGTGGCCCTCCAGCAGGCTACAGGCTTACCTGCAGGGAAGGCCCTGACAAGGTCTTGGTCCTGTGTCCTGACCACATTACATGTCCTTGGTTTTGAGAAAATACCCAAGAGTTTGTTTTTCTCCATAGGGACAGCATTTACTTCTGCTAAAATTTTTGCAAGGCCTTGTGAATAGAAGGAAGTAGTGCTGCAACATCCAGCCTTTTCGTGGAGTGAAGAAAATATTCTCCATATTAGACACTGTGGGCCCCAATGCTAATTAACACACTCAGCAGGTCTTCTCCAGCGGAGCCGTGCTTGTGTCCTGCCCAGGTCTGTGTCGCCCCGTGGTACCTCAGCTTTGTTTTCTTCATCATTTTAATTCGAAAAGAAAAGGTAAGGGCAGGGAAGCTTGCGTAACCATGGCAGTGACTCAGACTCCATCAGAGAAATAAACTGCGTTTTCCCCACGGCGTCTTACAGACAGATTTCTGTCTGAGCCATATTGTTGGAAAACTATCCAGAGCCCTGATGTTCTACCTGCCTATAAAAATAGCTGGCATATGGCTGTGAACGTGCACTGGATGTAAAAATGGCCGTCTTTTTCAAGAGGCAGCCCTGTCGTTGCTAACCATTCAGGAATCACGGTGTGCTGGGTGTGCAACGCTCCTCGGGTGTGGTGCCCTCTCCTGGGGCTTCCCCCACCGGAGCGGGATCCTGTCATCTTTCCGACCCAGCTCTGAAACTATCTTGATGACTGTGGTTCTTATTTTTAAGACAAAACCCCTTCCTCTTTTAAGAAGGTGCTTAAAAACACACACACACACACACACCACCACCACCACCACCACCACCACCACCAAACCTGTTTTACTTGTTTGGATAGAAACTCTTCACTAATTGATGTTAATCAAGCAACTGTCAAGGACAAAACTATTTATTCTAGCAAAGGTCAAATTCTATAAACCTCTAATAGGCACTCACACAGCCTGCATTAATGAAAGTCTGTGTACGGGTACAGGTGGTGGTTAGCTCCATGGGAACTCTGGGCCAGACACGGTGTCATTAGCCTTGCAGTACTGTGACCCTGCATTTTCCGTGACTGAGTTTCTTACATTCCACTTAGATTCCTAATTATTATTTTTACTTCTTCCCCTTCTATCTTGCTCCATTCGTTTATATATATTTTGCTGCTAGTTGAAAGATGCAGTTTTCTGAGTATTTCAAATTTGTTGTTTTGTTGTTTTTTCCTAAATGGAAAAATACATTTTCTGGTCATGAAAACAAGGACCAGTGTCCATTAAAGTAATTCTGTAGTTTAGTGCAAGCCTTTCTGGATTAAGAACTCATTAATGTTTGTAATGTATCCTTTTGTTTTCCAGAGAAGAGCAAAGCCCATTTCCTGTGGTTTGTTTATTAGTAACGTCATTAGTTACTTTCTATTTGGATTACATTTCCCAGGTCGCTTCAGGCCCATTAGGAGACAATCCAAAGGTATTGGATGGTGCATGAAGGAGAAGCGGCCTTTTCAGATACTGCCATGGCTAGGACAGCAGATGGTGACAAGCGGGCGATGCTGCTTTTCTCATCCTCGCCGGTATGGGGGGACTGGGTCCTGCCCAGTTTGCACCTTTGCTGCTTCCAGGTCCAGGTCTGCCTCTGTTGAAGAGCTGATGTAGCAGTTTGGAAACAGACAGACTCTGGCTGTTTCTTTAAGGGAAACAAACCTCACAGCGGACAGGCTGTAAAGGGGAAGTCATTCTGCCCTTTGATTCTTGGACCATGAGTTCATGTCTGCCAGGCTCTGCCCTCCCTCACCGCCTGAGTGTTTCGTGTAGAAAACTGGAGATTCCGGCACAGAGACAGAACTACTCTATTTTGATTTTTTATTTTTCTAGTTGTTTTTTATTTTTTAATCTACTCCACCTAAACCGGAGACCACACGTGCTCTGCCCTTTTTCATTTAATAGTATATCATGAGTGGTTTCCAGTGTGCTTGAATAACTTGATATTTAATGCCCATTGTTTCCATTTCCCATTCCTGATTTCTAACGAATTTTAATGTGCAGGTCTTAGCGTGAAGTACATTCGCAGAGCTGTGCAGCCAGTCTGCAGAACTCCCAATGTGAATATTTTTGTCCAGTCGTCTCAGTCATCTTTAATACACAGCTGGTATCTCAACCCTGGCGGTTCCCAAAAGTGGAATCACTGAACTAAGTGGGCTGCATATTTAAAGGTTCTTGATGCATACTGTCCAGCCACTTTCCAGAAAAGCCGCATTGATTTCCGTGCCCTCTGGCGTTCTCGGAGAGGCTTCTTTGGAGGGAGCCTCTTCCGGGAATGGTGTTAAGTGGATGGCGCTGGTGGGTGCTTTGTCCAGCCGAGTTGTGAACTCCCAAGAATTAGGACGAGGAGGCTGAGGAAGTCATTCTGGAACCTTCCTTGTTTGAACTTTTGTCTACACCTCTCCCATGATTTCCATTTTCTTTCTCTCCACGATACTGTTGGGGGAATTATCACAGCTGAGTCAGGTCAAGTTCAAGGTCAGAACAATACTCAGCTGGCTTCCACTATTAGCTCCACCCCCCCTCCCACCCTGGTCTGTGCTTTGTGGTGAGGATCATAGACAAGTTAGTGTGGTCAAGACTTCTGTCGCACACACACCCATCAGGCCTGTTTGCAGATACGGAACCAAAGACTGGGCATTTGAGTGGAACTTGCCCCGATGTACAAGTTCTTGGCTGATCTTGGTTTAAGCCCAGGTCCTCCCCTCTGTTGCCAGCACATTCTCCTACGCCGTCTGCACTGTTCTGTCTGCCCATTGTTGACCCATGGGCTGTTCATGACATGGCTTTGTGTTCTAGCTGTATGTCTGTGGGGAGGTCATAGGCTTACAGTTGTGCACACGTGTGTCTGTGAGGTGGAGCATAACCCAGGGAACACACAGTCCAGCAAGCTCGTTCTGGGCTCTGCCTTCACCTC